TAAAGCTTGGGCATGAAGTAGTTGTTGAGGTAGTCATTGTTTCCCATTCCCACTGAATATAAGCACTTGTTTAGATACATGGCTGGACTTAAATTTTGGTTCTTTAGAAGCTCAGTAATCCCATCCACTATGATTTTGTGGTTTTCTAGTTGCCTGTCCAAATCTATATTTGTACCCTACAAAAATAAATATATATAAATCAATAAATCGTAAGTTTCTCGAATAAGAGATTAGTGAGAATAAACCTTAACAATATGATTATAAAGAAATAAACCACATATATAATAACAATCAATATTTTATAAACGATGATTACTAATAAAAAACGATAAAAAAAAATAGTAAATAAATTATTAAAATAATAATAAATTATTATCAAAATACGATAATAAATCATAAAATTATTATTATAAATGATCACGTCGAATGAAATACCTATAGTTTCAAATAAAAAGAGATATCTTAAAATTAATACCAAATGTTTGCCGGTTTCTTCAAGAATTCCGGCTGAACCAGATGCATAGTTAACGCCCGTGAGAATATCTACCGAAGTGTTAAAAGTTGCTGCGAAAGCTGGAATATGGTGTTTGAAACCCAGAAGTTCAGCTGAAAAATCAATTAGGAAGAGATTAATTTTCATTTATCCTGCTCAACGATGATAAGTATATAATAAGGATCCAAATATTCTATTTTGTATTTTTTCTTCTTTCTTTCCAAGTAGAAATTCCAAAAAAAATAATGGCAGAAACCAGTTGCTCCATATGAGAAATATTGCTTAATAATTAGATTCCAAAATTTCAAATATCTGTTTAATTAAAATTTTCTCAAAAATTTAATTAATTTAATTAAAAATTAAAAATTCATTAATTATATGTACAGAGGAACAAGACATAACAGATATAAAACGAGTAAATCATAAAATTTATATCTGCCTCATACCTATTAAAAATTTATAACTTTTTGCCAATATTTGTCTCTACTCCATTTATTATGAATTTTTACCCATTGAATTCGAGCAAGTTAGAGAACTACTTACCCTAATGCCCGTATCTAATATTAATTCTTGTCACAAAAAAAATCGTATCGATTAAAATGATTAAAATATAATAAAAATAAAACCTAAAAAGAACAAAACTTGTCTTAAATAATTTACTAATGTAAGAGAATTTAATAAAATATTCTCTTTATTTTTTACTATTTTTAGATATAAAGTAATAGAACTATTCTTTTGTTATTTACTAAAAAATATATGTATTTAACGTTTTTTTCGTATTTTATAAAAGAATTCATATGTTTATCGCATTAAACGGTATAGTTTGAACGTTTAGTATAACTATTTATATCGAAAAACTTGTAAATGTGTAATAATTAAGAATTAAAAGAAAAAAGAAAGTCTCTAAAGGCACTAAGTTGGTCAAATATGGGACAAGAAAATAAAAATAAAAAGATTCATGTAAATCGAAGTAAAGAATATATATCTATTAGTAAAAGGGATTAAAGAGAAAAAACCAATAATATCGACGATAGTTCGACCGTTAGTGAATCTTCCGATATGACCATCAGAATAATCAATGCCATAAGGAAAGTAATCAACTTTAGCTTTTGTCTCTAAGTTGTTGTTGTTGCCATTATCTGCTAACGAATCTCCGAATATGAAATAACACAAAAGCTGCGCGTCTTGGGCATTATCTAGAATCGATTTACACTCTATATGAATATTGAACAAGCACACCATCACCACCATACCCACCCACATCTTCATCTCCATCTTCAAACAAAAAGAAGAAAATAGGGAGAAAGGAGAAGAAGATGCAGGAAGAGAATAGTGGCGAAGGGCTTTTATTCTGGTATTGCTAATAAAAATTGTTACTTTCAGACGTGTGTGTATGCGTTGTGCGTACATATATATATATACACACACACACAGGCCAAGACCGAATGAATAGAAACCAATCATAAGTACCTAAAAATAAAACAATACGTTAAGTGTACAACTAAGTTGCAAATCATGATATTGACCTATGCCCAACTTTACATGTTCTCCATGTGTACATATAAATATATAGTTATATTTAACTTTCTGTAACTTAGCATGGAGAGACTTTAATAAACTTTTTGCTTTATTATTTCTATTTTTAAATCTTTCTCTCTATTGTAGTTTTTTTTTTTTTTTTTTTGTTGGAGAGTGAAGGCATGCATATTTCAAATAGCTTTCTATTTGCAAATATATATATACACACACACACATATATATATATATATATTAAATTTTAAATAGATAATTTGGTATACTAATCATAAGA